TGTTTATGACCATTAAAGAAGTTTATGAGAGTAAAAATTAGTTGTTCTGGTTTGTTTTCTTGTTCAGTTTGATGAAGTTGTTCAACTTTAAGTTTATGTTATTGGCTGAAAATCAACACCATGAGTGAGAGGTCTGTCCTGGTGTGTGAAGGGTGACGCCATTGTACATTTTCACTAAGTAATGTACAAAGAGTTTAAAATTAACTCTGTGTTAAATTTATACTCTCAGTTTGATGGTGTATTGACACCTTGTGGTGTCTGTTAACCTTTCAAACACCACAATTTTCTTTATTAATAATAATACGCTGGTGTTACTTTAACATTTTATTTTAACACTGTTGAAATGTTAATATGACACCCTGTATTGTTGAATATTTAACACTGTCTGGTGTTACTGTTAACACTATATTTTAACACTAACATTAGTTTTATGTCAATGTGTCACCAAGAATTGTTGAATATTAAACACTGGTTGGTGTTAAATTAACAAAAAATGAGTGTTAAAATTTAACACTTTCACAAATGTTATTTTAACACCAGTGAGTGTGGACACATAAAGACACTTTGTTGGTGTTGAAATTAACACTGCGGGTGTTAAATTAACACTGTGGGTGTTAAAGTAACACTGGCATTTTTGCTGTGTATTGTGACACTAAGACCACTGTTCAAAACACGTCACATTTACAAGATTTGATCTGTTAATAGTAACAGAACCTGTTAATCTCCTGTTGAGCTGAACCAACTCAAGTCAGAACCAAAGGTAAACTGGTACCGATGTATTTGAAGGGCTTCCCCAGTTTGACGAGTTGAGTGATGCAGCGCTCCACGATGCTGGAGGTCCATTTGTTCACCTGGTTCTGACTGTAGTCCTCTTTTCCCACCAAGCTCTCAATGCACTGACACACAAACACAAACACACAACGGATCAGCACTTAGTCATGAGGGAGTCACCGGTTCTGTTCCGATGAACAGAAAATAAATCAGGTTTATAAATAAATCTGGTATTCAGTAAAAGGGTCTAACAACAACAAAAAAAGCTGCTTTAGATCATATACTAGCTCAAAACTTTGACAAAAGTAAATCTACAAGTCAAAAACTGATTTGAAACACAATACTCCTACAGAAGGTACGGTAAAAAAAAAAACTACATTTAACAATTAAAGTTATTTTAAACATCAAACTACAAAACAAACAGAAGATTTTATGTAACCTTTTCCTCCTAATGATGATGTCTGCAGACTGAAACAAGGAAAACTTACATTATACAAATTCAGAAGTCTAATATTTTTTAACTTTTTGGCATAACTATAATTTAATTTTGATAAACACAAAAAGGGAAAGACAAACAATAAAAACATGTGTAACTGACATGAAGAATTAAAGGACCAAGAAAATCACTTTACTGTGTTTTTCATGGCTAAATTGTGAGTATTTAAGGTGTCAAAGCTACAAATACCAGTGTGTTAGTTTATATTTTATTACTGTAAAATAAACTGTGAGTTAATAAAGATTAAATAACAGGAGCGCAAGAGGAAAATGTGAGTTTAAATTAAGTACCTCTTTAACGATGCTATCAGCTTCTTCTGGGTTGAATGAGCTCTGAAAACAAAAATATTCAACTATGTTTAGACAAATACCACGCTTACATCACAAGACGTTAAAAATAATCAAAGTTTAGTTTATATCGAGTCATTTGGACTGAGAGCTGGAATCACAGCATCCCTGTTGGGAGCGGTTCATTAGCTTTATCCGGTTAGCTTCCAGCTAATGTTAGCTTCAACAAAACCGTCGTTTCGGAAACAAACCTCGTTTCCGTTCTGAAACTCCTCCATCCCGGTCTTCTTGTGTCCGGTCGAAGCCGCTTCTTTCACAGATAACAGTAGAAAAATTAAACCGTTTTGTGACCAGGAAAAAAAAACAAAAACAACAAGAGGCTGGAGAGGATTTCCTGTTAGCTGTCAACAGACAACGAGACCGAGAGCGTAACCCAGTCTGTGTGATGCTGCCCCCTGCTGGCTGAACGAAGGAATCACAACAAAGACAGAATGATCTATGCTGCCCCCTGCTGGCCAAAAGAGACATTACAACAAATCGAGCTCCTGTGGTGCTGCCACCTTGTGGTGACGAGGAACTCAATTAAAAATACCACTTAAAATGAGAATTCGAGAACGTGTTTGATGATCATACAGTAGTAAATACTTTATTTTGTAAAAAAAAAAAAAAACATGGTCTTTAGAAATACTTTGCCTATGCGAACTGTCTAGGTCAAAGGGTCATAAATTGTATGCTTTTTATGCAATTTAAACAAATGGGGGACTCTAGAAAAACAAAGTTACCAGTTTAAATCAAGCTAGAAGAAATGACCGAGTGTTAGGACCAGACTACAAAAATAATCTCTTCAAAATAGACACAATCATTTCAAAGTCCTTCTTCTGATTAAAAAAAATTTGATGTTGATGTGTTAAAAGATTTATTTTTATTTGTAAAACTGATACCCAAGTACGGCTTCACAAGATGCTCAACATTCCTCATTTTAACAGACTTTATTCTCATGATCCTGAAGGACATTTTGAAACTGGTTATTTGAATGTTAGACTTTCTGATCATTGCGAGTAAGCTTAAAAGAGACAACGAGTTGGTGCGTGTCTTATCATGTGTTCTTCCTTTTAGCCTAAACAAAAACGAGTTACGCTCTGACATCTGACGTAAAAGGTAACCCTTCCAGGGGTGTAACCAGGAAGAGATGAACATTATAAGGTATGTTAGTGTGTTGCAGAGTCTGCTTAGAGCAGGCTGCTCTGTTTTGTTTTGGTTTTAGCTCAAGGTCTTACGCTGAGGCCTGCTGAGGGCTGTACTGTGAACCTGACTGGAGTCAGACGATTGAGAAAAAAGTTTTAAGCAGAAATCCAGAGGATTCCTGATTTATTCATACATACCATTTTGAACATTTTTTTATTTACAATATTATGACTTCATTCTTGTGTGACTTTGTTTTTGTAGTTTAAAAAGTTTTATTGTTTTAGTCTGGCCCTATGGTATGCTGGAGTATTAGGGCCAGATTATGAGTGTTTTTTTATACAGTATCATGCAACAAGCACAAAAAAGACAAGTGGAAAGAGGAACCACAATGGTCAACTCTACCAATTCTCAGAGGAAATGTTAAATATTATGATGAATTTATTTAAATACAAGAACCAAAGTCAAACAGCAGGGACCAAAATGTCTCTGGTTATTTTGTACCTCAGATGCTGGTTTGGCAGTAAAGCCGCTTAGAAAAGACATTAAGTCAAAAAAAATTTGTGATTTACAGACCAACAAAATAAATCTATATTTTAACAGACAACCTGCACAAAAGACCCCCATATGGCCAAAAGGTTAAAGATGAATTAGCTGGTCTTCTATAGGGCAGGACTAAAATCTGCTTCAACCTGCCGGAGCCCAGGAGGAAAACTGCACTACTTATTGTGGAATGACTACAGGCCTACAAATTTATACAAAAACAGCTTAGTCATGTTCAGTAATCCAAGCAGTTAACTTTAAATAAAACAAAAGTAAAATACATTACACCAGGGTTATTCTTTACTTAATTTAATACCAAAAATGATTTTAAAGCAATTTTAAACTTGTGATTTCTAGCATACAGGACCATGACCTGACTTGACCTTTTGACCACCACTGCTCATGTCACCTGATGACTGAATTTTGCTCTGAAAAAGCTTTCTTAGAATGACCTCATTTGACTCAACTGCACACCCCCTCGGATCATGAGTCTGTCACGACTGTTTTCTTGTAATTCTTTTTCTGCAAAGTACCTTATTTCATCGTTATAGCCTTGTACACAAGGGCATAAATTTAAGTCTACCATTGCGGGGG